TTCCTCGAAGTGCTCCTTCCACCGCCCGACGACGTCCCCGGTCTGGGTCAGCAGTTCTCCTCGTGGCGATTCATTGGGGGGATTTATTAGACAACAATGGAAAATATTTCGTCGTCAACTCGTCTTTGGTCGGCATCACAAAATAATATAAGTTCCATGCTATAAGTATCATTCTTAACACTGTGTTGCATTCCAGACAAATAAAAAACCACAGCTAACAATTCATCGTTAATGTATTAGTACATGTGCATACACGAAGCAACTCTGATTGTGTCAGAACAACCAGCAGAGAGGCTGAACATTCTGTCAATAATTAAGTCTAATCACACATCAGTCTCACTTTGACAAAGCACAGCTGCAATCACCTTGTCCTCAATAAGTTATCACAGAAACCGCCTCAATGCTGTCGCCTTCCTGGAGTTGTCCTTTACCTCTAAAATGGTCTCATCATATAATTTTAAACGGAATCTTTTTGTGCCTTGGACCATTTGTTGGACAACGCAAACAGTTTGGGCTCTGGGAAGCAATGATCACAGTTTCTTTTTCTTTTGCATTTCATTGACCAGTTTTATTTAATAAATAGAGGAAAAAAAGCCACCACATTATGTGATAATGGCAAATATTGTTAAACTGTTGGATATCTGCTCTCAAAATAACTAATGGTTCTTCAGAAGGCTCTGTGGTTCCTCAAAAGGCCATCACAACCTGAAGAACCTCTTTATTTAGGAGATGATTCTTCATGAACTTTAAAGTTATTGTTATTGGAGTTATTTGGTTTGTCGGCAGGTGATAGCATGAAATTAAAGCTGCAACTAACGATCATTTCATTTGGATTTTATTATTAGGTCTATAAAACATCAGAAAACAGTGAGTTTTCCCAATCCCAATTTGCTGTCTTGTAACATGTTGGTCTATCCGACCAACAGTCCAGAACCAAAAACATTAAATGTGTTCTCTTTGTTTGCTTTAAAAATGATGATTATCGAGTCCAGTTATCAAAATAGAATCAGAGGCTTTAACAGGTTCTTAAAGAACCTAGTTTTGCTAAAGGTCTTTGAATTTATAGTAGCTTAAAAGAGTTGATGGTTGTTTGAGGCACCTTTGGGGATTCTTTGAAGATATATCATTAATGTTTATGGTAGAATAGTTGATTTTGTCGAACAATTCTTTCCGTAACTTTCCTGTCAGTGAATGCCCACTGCCTTCTCATAATCAGAACAGCCCTTTAAGTAGCAGCAATGTATTCACTTTAGAGTTGTTCTGTATGATGACAAGTAAAACAGCTCTGTTCCTCTATGATCTTCTACATATGCACACAAAAGTCCTGAATATACTGCATGTGGACGGTTACATCAGACTTTATGTAAGTCTAAATCTTCAAATGTGTCAAATACCATTTTAAATATCTATAGTTTATGATCAAAAAGGTTTAAGCAGATCGGATAGTCGATAATTTGAGAAGGAATAACCTCCTCTTTTTTTCTCTTCAGTCCAACAGAGCTATCAATTACAGGGAGCCATGCTGAGGAAAATAATGAGCAGAAAATAAAACCGAGTTAATTGGCATGACGTCTGTACATCATGTGTGTTTCTGCATGCTGTTATTGAAACAGAGGAGTTACAAGTGTGTGAGTCACAGTGGCTGTATATTTAGCATGTTGTGTGTAGTGTCCGTGTGTCCGTGTGTGTGTGTGTAAATCGCCTGTTCAGCCTTTCATAAGCTGTCCTCATCTTCCTCCGCTGAAATGAAGCAGCTGAGTGTTGTTGTTTACTCAGGAGGGAAACATTAAGGGATTCTAATGTAGTTAGTTCAAATGGATGTTTGTTTCTTTATGTCTGACAGATGTTGCAGAGGTTCACAGCTGCCATCGTTTTAATTTGCCATCTGCTGAGCAGCGTCCATAGCCAGTGGAAGCTAATGAAAACTGGAGTGTATGAGCGCTGATGTGGGTTTTACTGCACGTAGAAATGAGCTGACGTGATTAATTGTGGAAAAGCTCTCTGTCTAATTAAAACTTTACCAAGAAATGTGTGGATCCATATTTGGATAGCTGCACTCCATTTAGTCTACCCACTATTTCTGTCTGTGCTTCAATCTGCTATTTTTACCTGCATTACACAGCTTCTACACAGTAACCACTTCACCACCAGCAGATGGCATTGCTGTCTACTGTACTAACGTAGCGCTTTGTGTTTCCTGCACAGCCGCAGACAAACAGCACGAGAAACAGCATAGTCACCAGTCCCAAAGGCAACATCCCCTCTGCTGCACTGGTATGCAGCTCTGTGTCCATCCATCTGTCTGTCTGTCTGTCCAAAGCACTTAATGAAACTTCTGAAATGCAAAGTGTGTTGGTGTGTGTGCGAAAGATAGAAAGAGTTAGGAGTGTGTGTGTGTGTGTGTGTGTGTGTGTGTGTGTGTGTGTGTGTAGGTGTGTGTGTGTGTGTGTGTAGTTTTGGCAGGTCAGTGTTGACGCTATAATTTTTTTCAGTTTTGATTTGCAGCTTTTAAGGAAGTAGCTCGACAATTTGGGTAATGCATTTCTTCCTTTCTTGCCAAAAGATTTACAGTATTGAGCCTGTCTTAACCCTTTGGAACCTCAAGCCGTTTCTTGGTGTTATTTTTCTCCTGTGACATTTTTAGTCACTGTAACCCTAACCCAGAGACAGTTAGTGCATCATAAATTCTAGATGCAGGAGAAACAACTATCCTGGTTCTGAGAAAACTTAGAATATTGCATCTTATTTGTTTATTCCCTATACAAGAAAAACATCCGTGTCAAACTCAGTGCACTTTAGAGGCGCTAGTAGGTGGGTTTTGTCATCTTTTAGACGGAGTCAGACTAACAGTTTCCCCGCGTTTTCAGTCTTGATGAAATGGACTATAAAAAGATGGAAGACACGTCACCACTTCTTCCCACGATACAAAGGTGAAGCCAAAGTATGGCAGAAATAGATATTGCAACGTTGTGCTGATGTTGTCATTTGCAGTTTGTGCAGTAGGGACAGAGGGAAGGAGATGTCTGATCCAAATGTGAGCACACACTGCTTGACCTTTACATAGCTGTCATACAAAGTAGTCAGCTAACCAGCCTCAAGTGGACATTCAAGGAACTGAAGTTTTTGATATTTCACACAGTCTGTGTTTTATGCTAAGCTAATGGTCTCCTGGCTGCAGTGCCATAACTATTTAGCCCACAAACATGAGAGTGGATCAATTTTCTTATCTAACTGTTTAGAGGACAGCAAATTAGCGTATTACCTAAAATTCCTCCAAGATGTTTAACCCTACTCAGGACTTTCTTGTTGCCATACATAGAAGGTCTTTCGGGCTCCATTGGAACCCAACAAAGATTATGAACTTGAATATTTGTATTATAGACTTTTATACTATGTTAAATACATTTTCTGATAAGTTGACGTATTTTTGGTTCCAAATGCATGACTAATGTCCCTCTTTTTATATTAAAAAAAAAATTCTTAAAATAAATAAATAAATAAAAATACCTGTCACCTAAACCAAATGGCCTGGGGTCCAAAAGACCCACAAGTCCTGAATAGGGTTAAATAAAGAACAGAAACATAAAAGTTAGCAGAGGTTGCATTTAAGAAGTTATTAAAAAAAATGACATGACATGACCTACAACTGTGAGCAGTTGTAGGTTGTGTATGATGTATGAACTTAAAATGTGCAATTTTTTTTTCATGATTTTACAGGTTTTGTATTTATCTAATAGTGAGACTTTTAAATATGGTTTGTATGTTGTAAGAAAAGCCTTGCGTTATTTGTGTTTTTGTGTATTAATATTATTGTCAACAAATCTCTTGAAAAGACCAAAATCAACAGTGTTTTAGTCCGTCTCTCTGTAGTTTCCAACTTATCTACTCTGTGGCGCTCAGTAATGTTCTGAAACTGCTTTCGGCAAACAAGCACATGCAACACTTTTAATGGCGACTATTTTCAGAGGCGGATTTATCCACATTTATTGCTCTGATTTCACAAGTCAGCATGCCACATTACACCATGCCATCAACTAGTCTGGAGGTGTCTAGGGGAGAGCATTCAAACTCTAGAAGTGTGGCACTCCAATACGCTGGGATTCTGGACACGTTGTTTGCCACAACATCACAATCATCCGTCCTCACCTGTCCTACTCACCAGATTTGGCTTAATAGAAATCTCTTCTCTTCCCGCTTGCTTATAAGGTAATTCAAGTCGATGAGTTGTTGTTTTGACTCAATTAGGGAGACTGAGCACCATGTACAGATAGTAAGGGCATTTTATGAGATATTTCACAAATTTGCCAACTATATCGTTACCAAACAATTTCTTCACCAATATGTTTGTAAAGGTGTCTAATAACATGCCTTAAAATGTTGAAGTTCAACTCCCGCGGGAAACCTGGAAAAAAACCTGTTCAAGTTAGGGTACCGATAAACGATTGGCGAAAAATTTATTTTTTCAAAAAAAATCGGCCTTAAGTAACTTATGAGGGTAAAATCAGGGTTTTTTCATGATTCTGAGTTGATTGTTAGCATTTGTATTTCACCACAAACACTCCATTGTCGAAAAAAGCCATACTCATTTTTACATTTACATTCACAGTAGCTTTTATTTCGCATACTTATATAACACTCAGTTATTTCTCATTCACAATGTCAGAAGTTTCTAGAGTCATTGTCTATGTCTTCTTCAGACTCAACAACATCATGACTGCAGTTTCTGCATGTAATGCCTTTACAGACTCCATGGGCCCAGATGCACGTGACCCCGTTCTTGCAGCTGCAACATCGGTTGCTGCAATCTCCATGACAATTGTAGCTCATGAACTTCAGTAGCTCCTCAGGGGCCATGGGGTCTAGTGTTGGAACTGGCTCATACCCATGCACACCTACTGTCCATCCATAGTCACTGGGCTTCAGAGACATGCTCTGTAGAAGGATCCAGTCCCGGTCTGCAGAGTGAATGCTGTGCAGCTGCACCCTCTGTTTGAGGTAGAGTTTCTGGTTTGATCACTCCTGCTGCCGCCCACCTTGAGAACATGTTGTACCAAATTTGAAACAGAAATACAATTATTATTATTATTTTTATTTTATTATTATTATTATTATATTTTTACTATGATGACAATAATGATGATGATGATTATTATTATTATTATCATTATTATTTGTCGAAGGAATAACAGCATTATTATTATTACATGCCAAACAGAGTTGTTTTCCCATGGCCAGCAATTACAGAAACCGTGAGAGATTCTTCTTAACCACATCAAATGGCTCTTATGACGTCTGAAAGATCCAAGAATCTCTCTCTGAAAGACAGAAGGGCTACCTGCTCTTCTGTCACGCCTTCACAAGGTGTGATACGGTCTCTGCAATTGCTGGCCATGGGAAAACAACTCTATTTGACAGGTAATAATAATAACACTGCTATTACTTTGACAAATAATGATAATAATAATCATTATTGTCATCATAGTAAAAATATTAGAAATAATAATAATAACAAATGACTTTCTGTTTCACATTATGCTTGACACAAACCTGGTGCATTTTTCCAGGTTTTGTGCAGGGGATGTGGATGAGTACATGGATATCTTCCTTGGCACAGAAGCCACCAAGGAGGCAGTGATTCAGGCTGGTACTGCGATTTTCCAGTACATTTATCATGGAGCAGATACCACATTGGGTGAAATTTGGTGCAACATGTTCTCAAGGAAGGCGACAGCAGGAGTGATCAAACCAGAGACTCTACCTCAAACAGAGGGTGCAGCTGCACAGCATTCACTCTGCAGACTGGGACTGGATCCTTCTACAGAGCATGTCTCTGAAGCCCAGTGACTATGGATGGACAGTAGGTGTGCATGGGTATGAGCCAGTTCCAACACTAGACCCCATGGTCCCTGAGGAGCTACTGAAGTTCACGAGCTGTAATTGTCATGGAGATTGCAGCAACCCGTGGTGCAGCTGCAAGAAGAACGGGGTCACGTGCATCTGGGCCCGTGGAGTCTATAAAGGCAGCACATGCAAAACTGCAGTCATGATGTTGTTGAGTCTGAAGAAGACATAGACAATGACTCTAGAAACTTCTGACATTGTGAATGAGAAATAACTGAGTGTTATATAAGTATGCGAAATAAAAGCTACTGTGAATGTAAATGTAAAAATGAGTGTGGCTTTTTTCAACAATGAAATGTTGGTGGTGAAATACAAATGCAAGCAATACACTCAGAATCATGAAAAAACTCTGATAGAAACTCACAAGTTACTTAAGGCCAGTTTTTGTTTTTTTTCTTTTAAATCAATTTTTTGACAATCGTTTATTGGTACCCTAACTTGAGCAGGTTTTTTTCAGGGTTTCCCACGGGAGTTGAACTTCAACATTTTAAAGCATTTTATTAGACACCTTTACAAACATATTGGCGAAGAAATTGTAATGTAGTTGGCAGATATTCATATGTTTCCCTTACTAAGATGATAGATGCTTATGGGAGCGTTGCAGGAGCACTGGCAGTGGTGTAAAGTCTTGATTATACTCCCTTGTGAATGCACACACAGACAGCTGCAGACACTGTGGACATGTAGTTGTGGCTATTATGCTACTTTCTAGTCCTCTTGAAATCTGCTTGGAGGACTGTGTTACATACATGTGCAGTAGGTTGGCATGAACGTATTCTATCTTATGCACTACAGCATGCATTAGAGTATTAAGAATAAGTCACTACACCGACACAAATTGTAGACGTCCACGGACTTGGGCAATTTATGTCATATGGACCCTCATGTACTTGTGGACATGACAAGTATCGTCTGACTCACCAGATGTAGACTTTGGTATAAGCCAGTGGCAACCTCTAAGCAGCAAGCTAAATTTCAGTATTTGCCAAACATTGGTGTTGTGCAATAAGGTACTGCTGCTTCCTTTTTTTAGGGAATTAGCCATTTTAATTTGACAGTTCTTGCCTCCCTGCATGCAAATGCTCCACCAGAACAATTCCCTTGTCTTTATTTTGCAGCAGCACTGTTGCTTCATCCTGGACTTTGCTCCACTCAAGATAACTGTGATTGTTTTAAAGAAATGCAAACATGCCAGAGCGTTTTTTTTTTTTTTGTTTTGTTTTGTTTTTTTGTCCCCTGATGTAGCCAGGACATTGTAACACAAAGCTATAGAGAGTTATGCAGGGTTGACTACAATGCAAGGCTACTGAATATAGACCAGTTGTCTGTTGTTGCACAAATAGACAACTTTGACCAGAATGACGGTCAAAGTTAAATTACGTATGGTTTGGGATTTTCATGGGCACTCTGGGAACCTGGTCACCGCAGTCAAGGCTTTGATTGACACAAAACTGTGGGATGCATTTAATGTTGATTTTGGCCTTTTCATCGAGAATTTCATAAGATTTAACTTTTAAAAACTATTTTCAGTACTTATTGTGTCTGTGTGACACAGTACATTTCTTTGTATATTGAATATATTTTCATAACCTTAATTTACTTGAAGTATGTATTGTTCACGAAAATAGTATCTGATTGGTACTTAGTATTAACAGACACTAAATAATAAATGACTTGGGTCGGGGACAAAAAACACTATCAGGACATCCCTATTATATGTACTTGGATACATTTTTATGAGCCTAAGTGATTGATGTGGGATAGAGAGAGAGTTTAATACTTGTTCATACTGATGGCTTCATTTAGAAACTCTTACAATCATCAATTTACTCTTTCTAATCTGTGTCCCTGTTTGTTCGTACCATTCTATCCCACTCTTTACTGATCTTCCTCTCAAACTCTCATTTTGTCATCACAAAACACTCCCATGTTTACCTCCATTCATCTGCCCACCCACTTTCTCTTTTCTCTCCATTCTTCCTCCAGGAGCCTCAGACTACTGTTATCCATAATCCAGTAGATGGGACCAAGGTACATCCTCCTCTCCTCCTTCCACCTCTTCATTTCCTGCACTTTTATTTCATCTGTCATCCATGTCTTCACTTCTATCTGTGTGGTCTAGATGTATTTCTGCAGGATTTTTGTATTTTTTTGGATATCTCTGTGCACCGTTTTGTGTACTTGTGCATGAGAGAGAGGGGGAGAGTGTGAGATGCTGCAGCTGTAAGTCCGGTGAGGTGTTTCGTTGTCCTAGAATGCCCCTCTGTGTTCAGATAGATGGAGCTCAGTGGTGCTCAGCAGTCCAGCAATGATGCCACTGTTCAGACTTTGTGTAACAGTGGTAGCTAAATGTTGTGTGCCGTACAGTCGTGTGTGTCTGTCTACACTGAAGCAACTCAATCCACACATGGGATTGTGCCTGAGTGCTGCAGAGTCACACTTGTGATTTGTATTTTTGGCAAAATCGTGGTGTGAAGATGGAACCGTGTTGTACTTTGATGGCAGAAATTTGAGTATTTGCATGCATTTGTGAATGTATTCGTCTCAGTGTGTTTTCTATTTTTGTTGGGGATCAACAAGTTTGTTTCTGTACTTTGCAGGAATCGTCTGACAGCAGCAACACCACCATTGAGGATGAAGATGTGAAAGGTAGGATCACTTTATCAAGAACAGCACACTGCTACTGGGTCAGGACACTTGTTAGAACTCTCAAATACTCACAGATCTTAGTGTCATGTATCATAGAATTTGTTCAGTTCATATACCAAATGTTTAACCTTCTGAACACAGACAGTTTGTGGGTGTTTTTTGTCCCTGTCACATTTCTAATCACTGTGGGTTCATTTTTCAATACAAATATATAAAATATGAAGTCCAAGTTTCCATCTCTATGGAAACAGCACAACCATGATTAGAAGTAGAGGGAACTCTAAGTCTAACAGTGTTTGTGTTTGACAGCAGATTTGCTTCATACATGCTTAAAATTTCCATTTGCCTTCAGGGGCGCAGATGTCTGCAAAATGGGTTCACTGCATGTATGAAACTGTTCAACTAACTCCACCTCGACCAGCTACAGCAATAACATGCTGCCTCCACGTTAACCTTCATAACTCCAAGCAGTTTCTGGCTGCTCCTGTCACATTTTTCTAATTGTGGTCTCACAGCATAAAGTCTTGTACCTTTATGGACACAGCACAATTATGACTAGAAATGGAGAAAGAACTCAAAAATGTACACCCGACAGTGTGACATAGTTATAATACCATAAATCCTTAAAGACAAAATGAAAGTTACATCTCTTTTATTATAAATCTTTTTTTTTTTTCAAATATATTTTTTTGGCCTTTGCCTTTATTTAGAGTAGTAGAGAGAGACAGGAAAGGGGGGAGAAGAATGGGGACAGACCTGCAGCAAAGGGTCGTGAGCGGGATTCGAACTCACGACCGCTGCATTGGGGAACTACAGCCCCTGTTCATGGGCCGCCCGCTCTACCAGGTGAGCTATAGGGGGGCCCTTTTATTATAAATCTTGAAAAATGTAGATAAATTGGAATCACCTCCTTCAACTTTTCTCAAGTGCCTGCAAATGTTACCAATACTTGAAAATAAAACAGTGGTTCTGCATACTGTAGATATTTTACAATACAAAATCTTCTTTTTCACACACATCAACACTAAGATGTTTTACATAATGAACAAATCTTCCAACAACTTGCTTCTTGAGCCATTCTGCATTTATTTTGTTGACTCAGTATGGTTTATTTTCCTCTCAGTCTGTTTGTCGTCACCTCTCTGCTCTGTGGAAACACTGCCTACAGTTCAGCTGAAAGCTCTCTGAAATGTTGACTTTTGGTCACAGCTGAGTCAGTCCTGGCTTCACAGTTGTGCTAAGGAGTGCTGTTTTGTTTTTTTTAATTTGTTTTTTTACAGGATCCAAACAGTTTGAAAGAGATTTTAAGGATACAGTGTTTTTTCAAAATCTCAAAACACTTTTCTCGTTCACGTTGCTTCACAAATCCACAGCTATTGCAAACTAAATGGAACTTTTCTGTGATTACGCCAGAGTCTATAACAGGGCAGATTACTGAGACCCACAAATAATATGTGTAATCCAGGTTTTGACGTAACAGGAGCTTAAGTTTAGTTATTCACAACTGTTTGTAGTTTTTTCTCTGATTTTTTTAAACACCTGCAGCATCAGACAGCAGCAGGAAAGCTGTGCACACTTACGCGTAACTTACTCATAGTTACTCATAATTCTAAATGTTCACTGACATGGAGACAGGATGTATCAAGATCTAACAGCAGGTCACACTGTGAACTTTACCTCACATCAGACAGGTGAGCTGTCAGTCAGAGTCACAGTTTACCAGCTGCAGTTAAGTCATTCGTTACACAGCAGATTTAGATTTAGTCATTTGTCCGTTTATTATGCATTATGTCATGTGATGTTCTGTCCAATCTGGCGTGAATGACAAATATCATACTTTCATCACAGACACAGTATGACGCTGTAAGCAACATTAAAGTGACCTACATCTGAATAGGAGAACTTCACTTCACTTTAACACACTGATTTAGCAGCAAACTAAGTTATACACTTTCTGAAAAGAACTTAAATCTGCAATCAGCACAACAAACAATCCAAAAATCTCTCATTTTATTCAAGGGGAGGTAAAAGTCTGATTGATATATTGCAAAACCTTGTCAAATAAACCCCCCAAACTCTGTTCACCACAAAAGTTATATTATAAAGTGAACTGACCCTTTAAAAAGTGAACTGACCCTTTAAGTATCTTTATGAATGAAGGGCTTTTGCATCTTGTTGTTGCTACTTTTGCTGAACTGAGGTGATATGGAGATTACATACGACATTTTATCTTCATAGAAGGAATATTTTTAGTTTCTTGCCCTTGAAATACATAGTAAAACTTTGCACTTGGTTAAATATACTAAAGCTGTTGCACATGAAAAATCAGCTGATTCTGAGGGGGTCAGGTGGGAGCCTTTTACAGATTTGTTTGATTTTATATGGAATGAACCTGATAGATGGAGGCACAAAATAAAATGAACAGCATACAGAAAGAGAGAGAGAGAGAGAGAGAGAGAGAGAGAGAGA